TCCCTACTCTTATTGCCTAGATCTAAGTCTAGATCTATATTTGGAAAGAGACGTTATTAAAATTGTAAGCAACAGTATTCCAGCACAGAATCATCTCTTCACCATCACATGTCCCTGTTATACTATACAGTATTTTAAATCGCATTCCAGATCCTCAGCGTGGGAATTAGCCTGCATCTTGCTCCCTCTTCCTTGACTGCACAGTCATGAATAATGATCTGGCTCCAAGGCCAGGAGGGGCTTTGGTGGTTAGTGCATCCGCCATCAGCAGTGCCCAGGCCTGTAGGTGGAACTTCTTTGTCAGCTCTGAGCCCATACCAACAGCCGCACAAACTTGTTTTCTGCCAACACCCAAACCGATTCAACCTCAAAGAGGCCAAGGAAGCAGACGCTGCCAGGAATAAGAGGCCACCTTGAGCGTGTCCCTTTCCTGGCCATGGTGTCAGTTTGACAGATGTCAGACTTAGCATCACTAGAGTTGGGCTCATTATGGACTTGGAAAGCTGCTGTCATTTCTGACTGCAGCTTTTCTCAGCCAAATAAACACACAGTGCAAAGCAATGTGCCAAATGTGTGGAAGAATGGGCATCTTCTCTGCTGGTCACAAGCACTAATGCCCTAATCCCCAGCAGAGGGGAAGGCCAGGTCCAAGCACACCAATCCTGTAGGGTCCTTTTGGCTCTAAATAAATGCCCTCATCACAGTTCATAAATTTGAATCACAATCCTGGTTTATACTGATGAATTTTTACCCATCTGTACTTTTTGTTGCCTTCATGTAAACTATCTGGCCCCAAAGGCACTTTATCAAATGCTCTACCCCAGTGGGAAACCAGGTGATTAGACAGTAGAGTAGCTTGGTAGAGAGTCCAGAAAGTTAATTACTAACATAATGATTGGAACCTTCATTTTCCAGGGTTAAGTCAAGCATCTCTGTGGCCAGTCCTTTTGTGGTTGTTTGTTCTTCAGTTGACATGTAATTAGCTCTTATTGACAAAGCTTCTTTAGCTTTGTTTTGCTTTAGTTTTTTTAAGCCACACACAAATATCTAAAGAGTTTATACAATAGAATATTCTTCCTATCCCCAAAATTCACTCAGAGGATTTGAAGTCAAAGTCCTAAGTGGCTACTGATTTGACCTGACACCTAATTCTCTCCACACTCAAGGCTGTCTTCTAAGTGTCTTTGTCTACAACAGACATAATAAGCTTAATCCTACTTTTTTACATATAAGATGTGTTAGGCTCCTAATGAGTTACTATTTCTCCTACCACTTTTCTTTGTGTTAGTGACCTACTGCTACAATAACAAAAAATACCACAGTGGGTGGTTTTCATGGAGACAAGTCTTTTTTTTTTTTTTTTACAGTTCAGGATGCTAGAAGTCTGGATTCAGGGCACAGGCTCTAAGAGGAGGCTTTCTCTCTGTCACCTTTAAGGGAAGGTCCTTGTCTCTTTTTGGCTTTTGCTTCTCAGTACCCTGGTGATCTTCACTTGGTAGCAATCTCTCTTGCTCATCTCGGCTTGTTTCTCTGTGCCTGATCTGCTCTTTCATATCTCAACGTTGAGGAACTTAAAACACACCCTACACTGACATGGTCTCTTAACATAACAAAGAAAACCCATTCCCAAAGGGGATTCTAGCCAGAGGTATAGGGGTCAGGATTACAACACATTATTCTGAGGGACATAATTCATTCTGTAACAGTTACTTTCTCTCAAAGCCATCTCCCCAGTCAGATTCATCTGGGGGCTGCTGACTAATAGGGAAAGGAAAGTATTCAAACTGCAGGTCCTCACACTCGAAGCTGCTCCAACAGCCAATACTGAACAGTTTGTTTACTTGTCTGAAGACAGAACTAAAAGTCTAGAGATAAACATACAAATTCGCTTGCAATTAAAGGGAGCATATAAAAGGAAAACTGTAACTTTTCAAGATAATAATTCCAACAAGGACTCGACTGTCTGATCAGCTAACTGCCACAGGAGGGAAATTCCAGTAAGTCACATATACAGATTGAATGATGGGTAACCTGACAACATGGCACACGTGGACTTCTAGACTCCAGAACCAGGTAAGTGACATGTGGCACACACAGCATTGGACCTGATCCTTCTCAGTTTGAAGACTCCCCTTTACCATTGCAAATTACCTGGAATTTCACACAAAGAGAACTTGAATGAACCCGTCTGGGATCCTGTTTTTCTCACTAACTGCGTTTTAAAGAATGAACAATCCAGTTACCAGCCTGGCTCCCATCAGTTTTATCTGCCATCAAATTCTCACACCTTTGATGGGAACTAATTAAACTCATGTGGTGTTTTTCTCTCCAGAACATCTTTGGTAGCTCTGGAACAAAGCACACCAAATTAGGCCTATCTGTCCATATAGGAAAGGAGCTCTGGTGGCACACAGTGCCTAAGGCATTTGACTGCTAACCAGAAGTTCGGTGGTTCAAACCCACCAGCCAATCCACAGAAAGAAGATGGGGCAATCTTCTGTGAAGATTTTCCACCTAGGAAACCCAGTGGGGCTGCTATGAATCAGAATCAACTCAATGGCAATGAGGTTTTTTTTTTGTCTAAATGGGAAGGACGTTATTTATCCATCAAAAGGCTGGTTTTATGGTTATACACCTAGAAGCTGTCTTCCCAAGGCACCCAAATACCATGGGGCAAGTATTCTAACCCCAACTCTTATGTGGGCAGAATCTTGTGAGAGTAGTTCTGTGTATCATGGGTCATCTACCAATTCAAAGGAATCGTTTCCTTGAACAGTTGCAATATCCAAGCAGGTCACGCAGTCTGCTGCCAGACTCCCGTTCACAGTCAAAGTTACTTTAGTGTATACACACAATGGAATACTGTTGTTAGATGCCATCAAGTCAGTCCCCACTCCTAGTGACCCTCTGTTCAATAGAATGAAACCCTGTCTGCCCCTGTATCATCCTCGTAATTGTTGCTACGTTTGAGTGCATTGTTGTGGCGACTGCGTCAGTCTATCTTGTTGAAGGTCTTCTTCTTTTTTGCTGATCCTCTACTTTACTAAGCATGATGTCCTTGTCCAGGGATTGATGCCTCCTTATAACATGACCAAAGTACAAAAGACGAAGCCCGGCCATTCTCGCTTCTAAGGAGCATTCTAGCTACAGTTCTTCCAGGACAGATTTGTTCGTTCTGGCTGTCCATGGTATTCAATATTCTTCACCAACACCATAATTCAAATATATCAGTTCTTCTGTGGTCTTCCTTATTCACTGTCCAGCTTTCACATGCATATGACACCAAAACCCACTGCCATTGAGTCAGATCCGACTCCTAATGACCTCTCCTTGGGTTTCCGAGGCGGTATCACTACAGAAGTAGATTGCCCAACCTTCCTTCCGAGGAGTGGCTGGTGGATTTGAACCACCAGCCTTCTGGTTAGCAGTCAAATGCCTTAGGCACTATGCCACCAGAGCTCCCACATGCATATGAGGCAACTGAAAATACCATGACTTGAGTTAGGCACACCTTAGTCTTCAAAGTGACATCTTTGCCCTTTAGCTCTTTAGGGAAGTCTTTTGCAGAAGATCTGCCCAATGCATTTCATCATTTCATTTCTTGACTGTTCTATGGGTGTTGATTGTGTATCCAACTAAAAGGAAATTCTTGACAACTTCAATACTGAAGTAAATGGAATATTACTCAGTCAAAAAATGAAGTCCTCCTACATGCTGTGACATGGTTGAACATCATGCTAAGTGAACATTATGCTAAGTGAAGTAAGTCAGACACAAAAGGACAAATATTATATGATCGTGATTGTATGAAAGATCTATAGTAGGCAAATGCACAGAGAATAAAGCAGACAAGACATTAACCGGCTAGGGGAGAGGGATGGGAAGTTACTGCTTAAGGGTTACAGAGTTTCTGTTTAGGAAGATAAGGTTTTATAGTTTTGATGGATACTTAACACTGTGAATGTAACTAATGTCACTGAACTGTACACTTAAAAATGGCTAAAACGGCAAACTAAAATAACCATTTTATGTTATATATATATTACCACCATAGTTTTTTAACTGCAACATTAAAGAATTCAGCGCAATATTTAAGTTGCTGTTCTGCTGTAATCTTGCAAGAGAGAAGAACATTTTTCATTCACTGTGACCCGACAGCAGAGCCTGATTAATCCGAACTGAGCAAAGGAGGCTTTTGCAACATGGGGCTGCTTTCTCAAAAGGAAGGCCAGAGCCCCGACATTCACACACACCAGGGACACAGTTACAGAAAGGAGCCCTTGGCAACAGCGCCTCCCACTTACCTGCCTGAAGCAGTGCCGGGTTCCCAGGACAATGGCTTTCCGCCCCTATTGCAACCAACACTTCTCAGCCTTGACCTACCCATTAAACTAACACCCATCTCTATGGGCCACAAATTGATGCACAAAAAGGAAAAAAAAATCAATTAATATTTGAGGGTAGTTATTTCTGTCTACCTAGGGTTCCTTCTTCTTCCCTCCCTTCATCTCTCCCTCTTTCCCTTCCTTCTTTCCTTTCTTCCCTCCCTCCTCCTTCCCTCCTTCTCTCCCTTTCTTCGGTCCATCCATCCATCCATCTAGGATTGTACTGCTGATGTAAAAATGCCAGAAAAACACTGAAAGGGGATCTGGTAAAACACCAGTTTGGTTCAGGCTTGCAGTCTGTAGAATGTGGTATACACTGGTCAATATGACCAACACCCTTTTCCCTTAAATTACACAAATAAAAACAAAAACGCAATCTTTCAACATATGCAATGATTTGACCAGACTGTCCTCGCCACGCTTCATTCCGTTTAATGCCTGCAGCAGAAGGGGGTTGCTCCTTTATGATCTAAATTGTTCACCTATCCTAGGGCCGTGGGCTGCACACTCTGGTCCACACACAGCTGGGACAGTCAGAAGGCCCAGGAGGGGGGAGCTGGACCGGGAGGGGGTGTTAGACCAGGAGCACAAACAGGAGTAGCCTCGCCCACTCACCACATCCAGGTCCTGGGAAACCCGCCGCTTCCGCAGCTCCTCCATCCTCTCACACACGTCCGAGAAACAGGTATTGTAGTAATCTGCATATTGCTGTGCCAGGTCGTCAATGTTCCCCAGTGAACCATCCTGAGGGTGAGGAGGGTCGGGGGGAAGGAACAAGAAAAGAAAAACGGCGGTCAGTCCACCCTCGGAAAGTCCCATGCTCATTTGATCTTCTTTCCGCATTAGCAGAGATTGCGGTAATAACCAATGATTCTGACTTCTGGCGACCCTGTGTGTGTCACACTGGGCTCCATGGGGTTTCCAAGGCCGAGTTTGCAGAAGTACATTGCCAGGCCTTCTTGTGAGGCACCTCTGGGTGGACTCAAACTCCCAGCCTTTCTGTTAGCAGCCCAGGGCCTGAACCTTTGCACCACCCAGGAACTCCTCAGTAATAACCACCGATATTCAGCGTGAACAGGTGCCAGGCTGAGTGTTTTCCAGGGAGTTCTCTCAATTCTCAGGACAGCTCTCTGAGATTTTCCTTACGGTACAGATGGGCCAACTGTAGTTTCAAGGATGCAGTGCTAACAAGCAAGAGAGCCAGGCCTGAGACCTGGACTCTGGGCCAAAGGTATCATCTTAAACCCATGCCTTCCTGGCCGTCAAGCAGGGCTCTCAGAACACCCCACCGGCTCCCAAAGTCCCCTGAGAAGCCTTCAGCAAAGGCACCACATCTGTAAGAGGTGCCCTAAAGGCACAATCATGGCCAAGCTGGTGCTGGTCCAACTGCTTCAGAATCTCTGGGAACCTTTTGCAAAGTGCAGGTGTAGGGCCCCATGATTCCCTGGTGACAAAGTAGTTAAGATCTCAGCTGCTAACCAAAAGGTCTTAGCGCAAACCTACCAGCCACAGCAGAAGATGGATGTGGCACACTGCTTCAGTGAAGATTTACAGGCTTGGACACTCTATAGAGCAGTCTTAGTCTGTCCTAGGGAGCTCTGGTAGCATAGTGCCTAAGGCACATGACTGCTAACCAGAAGGCTGGCGGTTCAAATCCACCAGCCACTCCTCGGAAGGAAGCTTAGGCAATCTACTTCCGTAGTGATACTACCTCGGGAACCCAAGGAGGGGTCACTATGAGTCAGGTCCTACGTTGTTTTGTTGTTATGTGCCGTCGAGTGGAACCAGACTCATAGCGACCCCTTCTTGGGTTTCTGAGGCAGTAGCACTACTGCCATCTTCCTTCCGAGGACTGGCTGGTGGGTTTGAACTGCCAGCCTTCTGGTTAGCAGTCAAGTGCTTAGGCACTACACTTAATCAGCAGCAACTCAACAGCAACAGGTCAGATCCCCATTCCCAGTAATTCTGATTGGGACCATAATTCAGAAACCAATGGGGAATGCTGGGATCTGGGACATAGCTGAACCAAACTCTCATGAGATCCTCAGAAATCATAGATAATCTTACTCCCTGAGTCATTCCAAGTACAGATACAAGAGCCAAGTATAAATGTAAGAGTATGCTTTATAAATTCAATTAAATAAATAAGTAAACTTGTTGTTTGTCTCTTCACTGAGGGAAGTTCAGGGCAGTTGCTCTAGAGTCTGGCTTTGTCGTCACGTCCCCATTAAGGGGGGCCATAGGCACTATATGGATTGAATTCTGTCCCCCGACCTTGATATAGTTCAAAGTAACCCTATGGAAATAGGGTCTTTGAAGATTTTATCAATTAACTTGAGGTCATGCTGGAGTTAAGGTGGGTCCTACTCAAATCTGAATCCTGTTCTTATAAAAGCAGAGACACAGATAAACACCCAGAGGAAGGCAGTCATGTGAAGGCATCTACAAGAGAAGAAATGCCTGGGGCTGCCAGAAGCTGAGAGAGATAAGGAAGGAACTTCCCACAGAGCCTTCAGGGAAGCTATGGCTTGATCAACACACTGATTTGGCCTTCCAGCCTCCCGGAACTGTGAGACAATAAATTTCTGTTCTTATAAGCCACCCAGTTTATGGTATTGTTACAACAGTCCTAGGAAAGTAATACAGGCACTTTTCTTAACCTCAAGGCACCTAGTTTTCTCAACTGTCACACTGGAATAACAACAGCCCCTATTTCACAGGGAATTACGCAGAACACCAAACATACTATGGACTGCCAGGAAGACAAACAAATCTGTCTTGGAAGAACTACAACCAGAATTCTCCTTAGAATGGAGGATGGTGAGGCTTTGTTTCAAGTACTTCGGACATGTTATGAGGAAGGACCAGTCCCTGGAGAAGGACAGCATGCTTGGGAAAGTAGAGGGTCAGTGAAAAGGGGGAAGCCCCTCAATGAGACGGACTGACTGAAACAGCAATGATTGTGAGGATGGTGCAGTGTTTTGTTCTATTACACACAAAGTATCTATGAGTCAGAGGCGACTTGATGGCACCTAACTACAACAACATCTCACAGTAAGGATTAGAACTTAGAACTCGGCCCTGCTCATGGTATGCTTGATACATAATGAAACCTCAAAACTTACTGTGCTAATATTCACTACAAGGTTATGTTCCATCCTTTAGAGTTGATTCCTAAACACACGTCTAAACACATACATATCACAGTAGTAAGCAGTTGTCATTGAGTTGATTCTGACTCCTGGCAAGCCCATGTGAGCCAGAGTAGAACTGTACATCATAGGGTTTTTAATGGCTGAGTTTTCGAAGTAGACTGCCAGGCCTGTCTTCCCAGGAGCTCTGGGTAGACATGAACCCCTAACCTTTTGGTTGGCAGCTGAGTGAGTTAATCATTTGCACTCCCAGGGACTGGGTGTCCACTACACTGACAGAAATGCAGTGAACATTCAGCAAGTGAAGACATTTCTTCTGCCAACTGATTCATCCTGAAAAAAGACAAACAACACTCCCCTGCTCCTTATCTTCCAACATGTCCTCTCTGAGTTATGAATATATGATTTTACAGGACAACCAAAGAAAACACTCAAGTTGCACATATACTTTCCATTTGACAGACTGCTCGCCAGCACCTTAGTTAATTGATCCTAGCATGTTACCCATAGCAACGCAAGGCTAACACCGCAGAGCAGCCTCAGACGCAAGCAGGGCTTGGAGGGAGATTTTCCAGCCCTTCTGCTAAAGACCTAGAGGTCCTCGTCAAAAGGCCTGGGTCAGCGAGAGCAAAGATCTCTTCCACCTGCACTTCTGCATCCACTGAGTTTGCAGAACTAAAGGAGTGAGAAACAGAAATTGAAAGAATTTTTTTACAGATCTTTTCCCACCAGTAAAACGCCCGACGGTTGTGTTAATTATAACTCCAAGCCCCCAGCGCAGAGTTCGGGGATGAGAAGGATTCTCTTACAAGGGCTGTAAGGTCTTTGAACATCTGAACATGTCTGGGCAGAGGCTTTCTCTCAGGGCACTGTGGCTGGCTGAGACAGCAGGGGAGATGGATACTGGGAGGAGGTGGGCCCACCCTCCCGTGCACAATGTGTACTGTCAGGTGTCCAGAAGGGAAAGAAATCAGCAAAGGCCAAGATGGACGTCTGCTGCTGAGCCACTGAAGAAATCTGGAGGTAGCCAGCCCTTGGCTGCCTTCAGTTGAGGAAACTCCCTGAAAACAGAATTTCTCTTGGGAGAGAGGAGTCAGGCCAGAATATCTTAAGGCGGGGCTCTGGCAATATAGCAACATAAATCGAATTGTAAGCCTAAGGACTGCCTGCTCATCCGAACTCGAGAGTACATGCCCCGTGGGCCACAACACGAAAATCTACAACCTCCCAACCGGCTTTCCTATCTCCTTCTCCATTTCATCTCATCCGACTTTGACCCAGCCACCAAGTGAAGAGATGAGACTAGGCTCCCTGTCTGCTGACATTGTTCCATGCCACCACCATCATCCGTTATTTTACAAAATAAGCCCCCAACTCACCAACCTGGTTCTTCGTTCCCATCATCTCCAGTCCCAGCCCCGGCCCCAGCCCCAGCCAGGTGGAGAGAGGAAGTTGTCTGTGATGCGTCACCCTAGGCCTGCAGACTGGTAGGGCCTAGCAGCCAGATAGCATCAGACCAGCTTCCCACAGCAGTAACTGTCTCCTCGGGGTAGGCCCTCTTCCACCCTGCTTTCCTCTCACTTCCTCCTCCCAACACCAGGGAATGATGGAAATTACTAGAGGAAACTATGGGGAAGACACAGGGCAGGGGAGCAGCTCCCATGGCAGTGTCTCTACTGAGCACCGGCCTCAGCAATGAGAGCCAAGCGTTTGCCTCTCTGAAGGCAGGAACTCAATTCTCAGCTGCCTCGGCCATTTGTGGTAGGGGCGTGGCAGTGCCCAGGATAAAGGGAACTCCTGCCTTCAGCATCAGAGCATCCCTTCTGTTAATCTAGGAATGTTTGCTTACACTACAGAGAAACAAAGCCATCACCATCCGCACTGCCTCAAGGCCTCCTTCTTCTGTCTTAGCCAGCCCAGAGTACACACTGGAAAAACAAAGGAGGAGGAAACAAGACTGGCAACTACCTTCCTTGAGAATCCATTTGTATGAGTTTCAGCCCTGCTTCTCCCACTCCCCACAACTGGGGCCCCAGGGGAGATAGATATCCTGGACTCCTCGAGTCTCAAGAATGTGATGCTATCGTTGTACAGAAACTTTTGCCTTTAGCCATCCAAGAAATGAAACACACCTGCCTTCAGCCAAATTCAAAAGCCATCTTCCAATACCTGAGTCAACTTGTTAGAGGGATTATACCAGCACTTTCCTTAGGGCTTCTGGTTCTTGACTGGAAATCAATCAATCACCCAACCAATCAATCAATCTCCGTCACTTACTCACAGGGCACTACCAGTTCTAATGGCCAAAGCCAGAACTCCAATCTTGAATTCTGGCTTCTCTCAATAATGACCCACTTTCCCATGGGTCTATGGCCATAAACTCTATGGCCTGTTCACAGCTGACTATTTTTTTGGACTAATTCAATTACAATAGAAGGACATTGTTTTGGTTCTCTAGTGCTGCTGTGAGAGCTCTGGTGGTGTAGTGCCTAAAGCACTTGACTGC